GGTTCATGTAGAATCAACAAGCGCCGCGAAGAGAGACACAACTTGTTTGTGATCTCCGTGTACGCTCCAACTGACTGCAGTGGCGACTCGGTCAAGGACGAATTCTACCGGAATCTACATCAGCTCTTGACTAATGCTAAAAAGTCGGATGTCGTTATCCTTGCTGGGGATTTTAATGCACGGGTTGGTCGCCTGTTACCATACGAACGCCACCTTGGTGGTCATCAAACCCTCGATGAGAACCGCTCTGATAACGGAGAACGGCTTCTCACATTGTGCGAAGACAAACATCTGTTTCTCTCGAGCACTAACTTCAGGCGTACGAAGAAGCGTTCCGCAACGTGGCGTCCCCCTTCGCCAACACAACCGTGGTCTCACATTGCAATTAGCTTCAGATGGCGTTGCAGCGTACTGGATAGCAGATCTTTTTGGTCCACCTTCGTTGACTCAGACCACGCATTGGTCTGCGCGAGAATCTGTATGCGTTTTGGGGAGTTCCGAAACACGAAGCACCGCAAGATTGAAGTAAATCGATTAACTGATTCCTGTGTCCAGGCGAGCTATCTGTCTTCACTGACATATACACTCAGTAGTAATCCACCGCAAGACGTGGAGCAACACTGGACTTGCATACGGAAAGCGATGACCATCTACGGACAGCCAAGCTGCGGCATAACTCGACGCCACCTAAAGACGTGGATCTCTGCTCGTTCCCTGGAGCTGTTCGAACGCCGCGAAGATATCCCGGTGGAATCAGATCACAGCGAGCGGCGTCGTTCTGCCAACCGGCTGCTGAAGCAAAGCCTACGCTAGGATCGCGAGACATGGTGGTCTGAGCGTGCTTTAGAGATAGGGACCGCTGTCCGCTCTGGTATTACTCGCAGGCTTTTCCAACTTATTCTATCCACTGGCCTCAGGAAGTCTGGTGTCAGTGAGGTCATTTGTGAGGTGGATGAGTGTCCGATCACCAACCAACAGACGCGTATGTACCGATGGGGCGAGCACTTTCACTCGCAGTTCAGCTGGCCTCCATCATCCATCAGTACATGCAGTACACCTTGTAATCCACCCTGGCTCGTCTCACTGAACCCACCCAGAGAAGCGGAAGTCTGCCTCGAGATTCGACACTTGAAGCGGTTCAAGGCTGCCGGCTCAGATGGACTTCCTCCAGAGCTGTTAAAGTACGGCGGTGTGGCGACCATTAACCAGCTGACCGCGCTGTTCCCGAAAATTTGGCATGAAGAGAAAGTGCCTTCCTCTTGGGGCGAATCAATTATTGTCCCAATTTTCAAGAAAGGTGCTCGCACTTCCTGTGCAAATCATCGCGGGATTAGTCTTATTTCGGATGCCTCCAAGCTGTCGGCATCCATTCTGCTTCGCAGACTATCCCCAGTACGTGAATCATACTACCGTGAAGAACAAGCTGGTTTTCCGTCCCGGCCGCGGATGCGTGGATCAAATCTTCACGCTCCGCCAGCTCCTCGAACATCGCCACATTTATCACAGGCCCACTATCGTTGCATTCCTAGACATACGTGCCGCTTTTGACTCCGTTGATCGACCTGCTTTATGGCGTTGCTTGCTAAAGAACGGGGTGCCAGAGAAATATACCGCCATCTTACGAGCACTTTACCTTCATACATCCGGCAGAGTGAGGGTCTATGGCAAGCTTTCCTCGCAATTCGCTGTCAATAGCGGTGTGCGACAGGGCTGCCCTATGTCCCCATTCCTCTTCAACTTCGCAATCGAAGACGTTCTGTCGAATGCTCTAGAAGGTTTCCAACATTTTGGCCTAGAGCTTCTACCGGGTGAGCGCGCGACCGACTTAGATTATGCTGATGATATCGCCTTACTTGGTGACGATCCTCAGGGTATGCAACTCATTCTGGATCGTTTGGCGGTTGAAGCATCTAAGTATGGCATGAGCTTCGCCCCATCGAAGTGTAAAGTACTGCTCAAGGATTGGCTTTCATCTGCTCCCGTGCTCACTCTCGAAGGTGCACAACTTGAACAGGTAGATAGTTTCGTCTACCTTGGGAGCTGTGTTTCTGCTGACGGCACTATCAGGAAGCAAGGTTCTCTTCGCATCGCTAAAGCCCGATCAGCATTTGTCGATCTGATGCACTTGTGGCGTCGTCGCGACGTCTCATTCTCGCTAAAGGGCTGTGTTCACAGCGCGTGAGTTCGCTTAGTTTTGTTGTATGGATGCGAGTCCTGGCCGATTCGCGTGGAAGACGTGCGTCGTCTTTCTGCCTTCGATAACGGTTGCTTAAGGAGGATTGCTCGTGTTTGGTGGCAACATCGAGTTAATAGTAATGACGTTCGACGTCGCATCTTGGGGAATGCGAGTATTCCCTTCAACAAACTGGTTTTGTTGCGCCAGTTGAGATGCTCGGTCACGTCCTACGTATGACACCTGAGCGTCTACCGCGTCGCGCTCTATTCGCTCGTCAAGGACCTGGCTGGAGGCGACCGCGTGGTGGTCAGCCTTCCACTTGGCGGCAGCACATGAAATCGCTGACGTCGTGTCTAGCCGCTGTTGCACCCGTACGTCTTCCAGGATGGGGACCCAAAGATGAGGAGTGCCAATGGCTTAGCACTCTTGAAGATATGGCCCGCAACCGGAATCAATGGAAGAATTGTGTACAGTATTGTATTGATTCACGCGTTTAATACTCCAAAGATTAAAATGACAAAGAGCAAAAGCGGAGTGTGAAAAGCAAACTAAAAATTTTTTGTTCTATGTTTTGTCACAATGTTCCATTCTTTCTCCGTCATATTAGTTGAAGTGTGTTGCTTATCTTCAACTAGCATGCCACGATGATTATGACGCGATGACTCCCTTATCCACTGATCTCCATGGTTTTTGGTTGGCTCTGTCTAGTTGTTAGACTGCTGAGATCACTCTCTCCTGTTAGTGGCTGAGAACCAGTGGTAAGCGTGAGCGCACAATGCGAAGCCAAAGTAAGTTCAAATTACGACGGAAACCTAAACAGATGAATGTCAATTCTTAATTGAAATAACTCGTGGCAATGCATCCATATGTGTACTTCACAATGATCCCTAAAAGATAATCAAGAGATTTAAGCACACGAGTGGTTATTACGGCGCTCATAAGCCAGGCAGTATTTGCCCCAAGTTTAACCGTTCTCGTACTGTCTGCAGTCTCAATTTCCAAGACCGACGGACCTGATGTACTCGAGCATCCGTGACCTGACATACTTGACAATGTGGTGTGATTGGCGACCGCGTGTAGAAGTGATCAAACGACGCCGCGAGATTTCGTGGTATTTCAGCGCGGAGACATTACATACACGGCTAAAACGGCTACGCGATTCATTAAATATGTCGTTACGCTAGCTCCTTTGCGCGCTTCGTTTGTACAGCAAAGCGCTAGGCAGAAAAGGTGAGACGTTAAATGTGACTTGCCCACGAGTTACGCCATGTAGCTTGCAAGTAGTTCGCTCTCGGCTCTGTCTGTTTATTGCAACAGCAACATGCACCAGAAGATGGCTTTTTCTGTGTGCCAAAATCAATGTCACAAAAGTAGAGATGTCTATACTCTGCTCACTTGTTATGAATCCCAAGCACTATGATTTAGCTCACGTAAAATATAATTTCGACAAGAGGATGGTTAACCAAATCTACTCGAGACATCAGCGGAGATTTTGCTGCCAAACTTTTGGTTTGCGAGTCATTTGGATGTACTGTATCGTGTCACGGTTAGCGAATCGTGTGTCCAACTCGTTTAAGTGTTCAATCGAAGCTCAAAAATCGTTTGTGGTGAATAGAAAGAGCGTGTTGCTAAGAATGCAATCAGTGGTTAAAGAGGCTGCGATCTCTATTTTTCTATAACGTGAATGCCGTATGATCGTTCCACAAAACGGAACGTATCCTGATCGTCGGGAAATATACCCATTTATTAATTTATTTATTGATAAGACGATAGTAACGTTCATTGAACGCACGTCCAGTTTACGAATGTAGAGCGTGATTTATGGGGTAACAATAGCATTCGTTCGCTCTGCCAGCTAGTTGAATGCAAGGGTACTCATCAAATTCATACACACACACAAACTAAACCTTGTTGTATTACGCCCAGCACATAATAGAAAATTAAGAGTCGAGTGGGGTACAAATAGGGCGCTATCCAATTCTGACAACTTGGGATGCTGAATCTATAAATAAGCATGAGAAACAAAAGGTCGTGAAACAGATACTGTCAAACCAAACATATAAAGCGGCTAGTAACTGAAGGTTACTATACTACAGATGCAATCAGAACGAGTGTGCTGATCGAAGCTCGTGAATGGACGTTGATGAAGCTGAACTGACAAGAGCAAGAGAGTATAGCGTGGCAAATTCATTGAACGATTAGAGTATGAGGGGCGCCAGAAAGGCAGATGCAGTACGCCGTAGTGACGCTTCGCTGCCCCGAAACCACAAGCAGGCGCACATGGGCTAAGGATACTGCGAGGGTCGCTCTGTCCATACACATTCCCGAACCCGCGCCCTCGGAATACAAGGCAGATTTGTGATCCGCAAGGCTACGGGCCGGCAATAAGGGACATCACCATGGCCCTTTTGAGAAGTACAAAGGCAGAAAGTCACGGCGAGAAGAAAACGGGCCACGGTTGCATAGCCCAGAGGGATTGCGGTGATTCGAGGAGACGTTTCCGCCCGGACACCTAGTGTATGAGAGGAAAGTTCGCACAACCGATTGCCAGCATCCGGCAGATGAACAATAGCGAGAGGAGACAAAGGGAGTGTCTAATTGAGAGATGGACAACAAAACGACATAGTTACTCCATTCTAATCGTAGTCTACGCTTAATAAGATAAGAAGACAAATAACCTATTATGCCCTTGTAATGAAAAACTCAAAAGATTAGGCGCTGGAAACGAGTGCGGCGATAAACCTGGAATGGGATTGGAACGGAGAAAAATACGAAGTACGAAACTTCGAATCCGAAGTGAAAATAGCAGCAGCAGCAAACTCACTTGGGTAACGACGCTCATAAGGATGTCTTCACCACAAGCTTTTTGAATCAACTCAGCTAACTGTTGCGGTGGGAGGGGGGAATCGATGACTTTCTCCCTCGGCTCTGGAGGTAGACCCACAGTGACCTGTTTCTGAAGCACCAAAACATCGGCCAAAGCAATGGCCAAAGAGGCGGCCCGTTTTCCAAGTAGCGCAGTGGTGTAGCGTAGAAGGAACCAGGAAGTCACTTGGACAGCGCGCTCATATACCTGGAGGAGTGGACAAAAAGGTTAACAACAGTGAGAAACTGGTTTAGCCCCTGAAAACAGTGCTTCTGACCCAAACCGTACGAAACGAAGACAGTGGGCGCGTATAACCATAAGAAATAGGTAAACTTAACGCAGTTTAATAGAATGAAGTTCGGCACAGTTAGTCAGATATGATTTATGAATCACGATGTGTCGGATGAGGTTATCTCGACAACGTATGCATAAAAACAAAAAGTAGATAGGTCAGTTCAGGATAGGAAAGAACCTTCAAACCCCCGTTCGAAATAGCGACACTGGTACTATAGATGGCAGAGATTCGGATCACTCGCGTGGCCGACGCAGAGTGAGTTCCAGGAAGACCTACCGTATCAAGTCATTTGAATATTCTAATCGGTTACTTCCCATTACTATGCTGTCGTCGAAAAGCTACTTTGAACGTTCAATCGACAATGCGTGGTATAAGCTACCAATCCAATATACGGTCTTCGTCCGGGAAATTTAAAACCGTACACTGATGGAGTAGGGGTGCACAAAGGGTTTCTGAATTGACTTGACTCGAATATTGGTCTTCGGACGTGAACCCATGACTTTATCATAGTTTTAATTCGCGATAAACTTGCTTGTTAGTCAAACGAACAGTGTCAAAGGCACCATCCGGTTTGAATTTTATACTATCTGACAAAATTGTTCATGGGCTAGTATGACCACTCCGGACTGTTAATCAGGCTACTGTATAATGATGCTTTTGTTATGTTTCAGACCATGGAATACCTTACAGTGCTCTGCAGTGAAACATGTCAAGAAAAGCCTGATACAAGCGTGTGGTAGCGTTTTCAGCAAGAAATACTGTAAAGTATCCATTATACTGTTTTTAAAGCAAGAGCCATTGGTAGGGGTTGTCTGATTCTAGGAAATGAACTGATTGTAGAGATTATCCAGTTTTGCATCAACAGGTATTTAGTGAATCTGACGAGGTAGTATTTTGCATCCCAGTCTGAAGAATAATCCTTCAGTTTGCCGTCGGTTAAGAGAAAATGATACTATGAAAATTTTCGGAAGATCAGAGAACTCGCTCCCAAGCGCTCTAGTTGAACGGTACTTTTGGATTTAAACGTTGCAAACTGTATCGTCTTTTTGAGTCGTGGTGGAAGTTTGCGAAGTTGATTCCACACTAGGGCTGCACCGATTCTCATAATGATACATAAAGCTTCGTTGTTTCTGGGAGTTGGTCTACCCTGTGTAAACTAGATTCTATATGACACAAACTTTCTTTACAAGATTACCCATAGTTGGGAGTATGTTATTTTTACGCAATCACTTCAGGAATTCACGTGGGTAACGGTTGTCAGAGATACGTGGACGAAGCAGCACATGTCCCACTGGTTATACAAATTCACTTGTAGCTGCGGAGAGATAATTCGGGCGCATTAACCGAAATTTAGGTGTCAGGATAAATGAACACATCCCCAAGTGCTTGCGTAGCCGGATGGGCTTGATGACAGTGAAATTGGGTGAATCGAGAAGTAGAGCTGCTTTGAGAGCAACAAGGTATTCGCTGAACACAGGCCATCGATTCAATCGCAACGAGTCATTCACCGTCCTGGTACGCAATCAACTACCCGACATTCTCAAGCGGCTGGAAGCCGCTGCTATCGATCGGGAACAAGCACCGCTGTGTGTGTAGAAACAGCTGCTTGTGATTCTGAACTAAACATGGTAGCGCGAATTGCACCGGTCGACTACCCCTCTAGCACATATGACTGCGTTTTGTAGATTTATAATAATAATATTAATAATAAGACATATGTTTCTCGACTGTGCAAGAAGCTGTTCCTGGAATAGGAACAGATGGTGAGTACAGTTGCTGAACTGTGTGTACCATATTTTTCACTGGTTAGATATTTCTTGGCCTATCCTGGAAGAACTCGTGTAGTGATGTACCCGATGGAAACATGGTAATTATCGAGTTCTAGTCCGGGAAACTTCTAAGCTGAGTGCGAAATGTACATGCATTTGTGCAAGACCTGATTGTGGCTGGTAGACTATTCCACACGACAGCGTATCTCACGAGGAAGAAGTTTGATTGAATAGCTGCTCTGGTACTTGGCACAGTTAGTTTACAGGTCTTGTTGCGTAGATCCCGAGTGAAGTTATGTGGCAATATTACTGTTCATAGATTAGAGTATATCTTTTGGTTTATAACATAGTGTTTCAGCAGCAGGTTATGTTTCAGTCGTCGCAAGCAAAACGGCTCAAGCTTAAGCTGCTGGAAGCGCTTCTGACAACTCAAGGTGAACGATTTACTGAATAAGCATTTAGTGAATGATCTTTGCATGTTCTCCAAATGTTTCCTGTCACTCACACGCATGTTTCTATAAATGATGCTACAGTATTCAGGGACAGGAAGTGTGAGTATTATGAAAAGCACGATTCTGGCAGGAGTTGTAAGGATTTTATGGCATATGTTAACTATAGATCATTTGACGCGGGCTTGCTCTGAGAAATGGAAATTTAAAAAGTATCGTATGCCCAGATCAAAGTTAGACAGTCCCACACAGATGCGTTCATTGTTCAATTTAACTGACTCTACAGGGATCAAACATTCGTGTTACACAATGCATTATTTACTAGCTGAGAACATTATCATCTATGTGTCCCGCCATTTCTCAGGTGAATTGATGTCTTCTTGAACGAGTAACATTGCGCTACGGAGTTCGGCTCATGCAAATTGATAAACAATATATCATCGGCGAAAAAATGGCCTGTCATGTTTTGTGAACATCGTGATATCGTCAATGTGAAGTAAGCAGAGGGAAGGAGCAAGTACACTCCTTTAGATGACACCACTAGTGATTGGACGTGGGGAAATTATGATTACTCAGCGTGACTATCTCGTAACGCCCTTTTAGATATGATGTCAACCAATCAAACAGTATTTCTCTGATTCCAAATTAGTCGATTCTTTTCGTTAGCAGCTTGTGAGGCACCATGTCGAATACTTTCGCATATGCAGGAATAGCATAAGAACAGCATAATTGGGGTCAATAGCTACTATGATTTACTCTAAATTGTGTCTATGACACTGCACAGGAACGTTTATCGAGGAATCTATGCTAGGATTTGTTAAGCAAGCCATGGAGATGGATAAAGTAAATGATTCCACGCATAACTAATTTTTCGAGTAATCTACCGATAATAGAAGTATAATGGATAGGTCGATAATTAGTGGCGTTCTGTTTGGTTCCTTTATGACGAGGGACAAGAAACGCTGTTTTCCACTGATCCGGAAAGTAAATAGGTCCTAACGACAAGATTAACATGTTTAGCAAAGGCAGTGATAGGTTAGGTCCGACGAGTTTAATGACGGATGGGGGATGCCATCGGAGTCTAGTTTGAGCGATGTTTTGATGGACTTCATAGCCTGTTGGAAGGTCGAAAGAGAAATCTCGACATTATGTATGACGCTTGTTGTTGTAAGTTCCGAACCGCATAGGATCGGTTTCTACGTCCTTGGAAGCACCGAAGAAAGTGCTAAACGCTTCGCAAATAGCAGTTGGGTCGTTAAGGTGACGACCCTTCTGACCGATCAGTTCTGTGATCAAAGATATCCGATCGTTGGTTCTACGACGTTAATCAGGTAGAAAACTTAAACGCGAAGGAAAGATTAATGATCTCCTTTGATGTAGAATCTCTTCCTACGAAGGTTCCATTGTTAGAAACGGTCAACTTCATCTGTGAATACCTAGCAAAATACAACATTAGTCTTACGATCCCGGCTCATAAGGTGAAAGAGCTGATTCTATGTTGCACGTTCAACAAACAGTTTCTATTTGATGGAAAATACTATGGACAGATTGACGGAGTTGCAATGGGATCTCCCCTAGGACCACTGCTTGCAGACATTTTTCTCGCGAAAATTGAACGCGGACCTATCAGACACCTAATCGCATCGCTTGATTATTACAAAAGATAGATGGATGATACATTTATTGTTTGCGACTCATACTGATCATGTTCACCTGTGGAATCAATTTAACAACGCAAACCCGAAGTTGAAATCCACTTGAGAGATTGAAGCGAACAGTAAGCTGCCTTTTTTGGATGTTTTGCTACGACGACGAGAAGACCGATCACTTGAAAGAAAAGTTTTCCGCAAGCCAACCTGGATAGGTCAGTACACGTACTTTCAGTTCCGTAAAGATAAAGTACAGACGAAACTAGGTACGTTGCCTGAATTATCGGGTTGCAAAGATTAGCAGCCCTGAGACACTGGAAGCGGAAAAGAATTTCATACTCAAGATTTTGGAAAGCAACGGGAACCAACGGCTTTCATCATAAAGCATTCCCAGCTCCGAGCTGAGTCTGAGCCGAAAATGAGTGTGAGAAGGAAAGTTTTCCTCTCAGTGCCTTTCAAAGGAGACATACAGTTCGAACTCTTGAGTAGGAAATTGACTTCCGCGCTAAACCAAACGTACCCGGCCGCCAGAGTCCGCATTCACGCCGAAACCGTTCCTCTCATCACCAACCGCCTAAAAGACAGAATTCCGGCCCAGTCCGAATCCTATGTCCTATACCAGTTCACTTGCACCTGTGGTGCGAGATACCTCGGACACACGACCAGACGTCTGTCAAAGCGGATAGCGGAACACTGCCCTGCTTCATTACAGCGTGGTACCACCAGAAATGTTCACAGCTCCATCCCAGAACACCCAGTAGATAGTGAACATAAGATGCAAACGAAAGATGCGTTCAAAATAGTGTATGTAGCA